CCTGGGTTGAAGGCTGAAGGCACAGCCCCTACTTGGGACATATTATTCTCAAGGCGGAGGGAAAGAACAGAGTGGTGGCAGAAACACAGTGACCCAAAGCTGCTTCCGGGATGGGTTACACTTTGCCTCCACACACCTGGAGTTGGCCAACACTAGTCACGTGTCAAGTCAACATCAGCAGGGTGGGATATTATTCACTAGGAGGCAGTAAAAGTCACATACCATTAAGCAGGGATATAAAATCCAAGAAGGGCAGAGCAAACACTCAGGAACTATCATACCACAGGAATAGTGAAGGAAGTACTGCCAGCACTTCCAACAGTACCTGGAACCTAATTAGCACTCAGTTAGTGTTGACTATTATTATACTAACAAAGAAATGGAGGGCATAAAACCCTGCCTGTTTTCTCTCTTTCTTTTTCCTCTTTTCCCCTTTATTCTTCCTCCTCCTCCCCATCCCTTATTTTTTTCTGTCTCTTGCCTTTCTCCATCCTTACCTCCTACTCTGTCCACACTTGGCCACTCACAGCCCTTTATTTCCTGGCTTTTCTCTCTCTCTTAAAAATTCACCTTTCTTTAGCCAATTCTCTTCTTCTCTAATCTACACCTCTCTGGGCCTTCTGTAGCTGGCCCAACTGTTCTCAGGTACAGGAAAAAGAGATAACCCACCTTTATCTGGGACACTATATTATTTTTAATTCGTGACTCTCTTACTCAGAAAATTTTTGAAAAATATTTTCTTATTATTTTACTGGACATAAAGCAATCAGTCCCAGCAGTTCTTTCTTATTTTTGAAACTCTTCCTGAACTATCTTGTGGCCACTGTCCCCTACCTCAGCCCCCACCAGCCACTAGCATCAACAAACTGTAATCACAATTTAATAATAAAATAGCAATGTCTCATGTTTCTTATGTGTTAGGCATTGTGCTAAGTGCCTAACATGATCTCATTTCATCTTTACAACAGCCCTGCTCCATTACTGAGCTGACATTCCTTGTCCAGGCCTCAGTCGGTTTCATGCTTTGCCATCTGCAGAGCAAGAAGTTCCAGCTTGAGATCTGAGCCTCTGATCTAGTCTGGCCTCTGCCATGAACTCCCTGTGTCACTTTGGGCAAGTTTCCCTCTCAGCCTCGTTTCACTAATCTGCAAGACTGATATGAGGATCCCTGCTTCATGAGACCACAGTGAAATGAAGATGAATGACCAGAGAATAGATGTAAAAGCCCTTTGTAAACAATGAGGCATCTTATAAATTCATTCATTCAACAAACACTTGCTTAGTGCCTGCTACCTTCTGAGCACTGTTTTTAACACTTACAACAAAGAACAAATGTTGGATTGTAACAGCTTTTTGCACCACTGTGAGGCCATGAGCTTTCATGCTAATAATATGAGAAGTCTTTGGAGGGTTTTGAACAAAATGAATGACATGATCTGACTTGGGTTTTAAGAGGATCATTCTGCAGCTGTGAGTAGACCATAGGGAGACCAGTGAGGAAGCCAATGCAATAATCCAGACAGGAGATAAGAGCAGCTTCCTGGAGGGTATAGCAGTGGAGGTGTTGAGAGTGGCTCATTTCTTGATATATTTTGAAGATAGAGCCAACAGACTTACTGATGTCTTGGATTTGGGTTTGGGGTGAAAAAAGAGACCACAGAGACATCAAGATTTTTGACGTGAGCAACTGGAAAGATGGAGTTGCCATCAATGGTTGAGGGGAACAGGTTAGGTGAATACCAGAAGTTCCTCTGGGGTTTGTTAGGTACAGGATGTCCGTCACACATGCAAATGGCACTGAGTAATCAGCTGGATATACAAGTCCCAGAGTTCAGTTAAGATCTGCCTCCCAAGGTCGGACTGGAGTTACCAGAACGCGCGTCTTCAGCACATACAGATGATATCTGGAGCCGTTAGACTGGAGGAGTTCTGAAGGCCAGGGAGGGCCCAGGAGAGGAGAGGTCACATGACCCGGCCCAGGCCAGGCTGGCTGGGGAGGAGGACCCTGTAAGAGATGAGGACCAGGAGAGATCATGACTAAGGAGAAACAAGGTGGGGGCGGGGTGTTGAAAACGACGGGGCTTTGGAGCTGAAAGACCGGTTTCAAGCCTGGGTTATCCACTTACACACTGTGTGAACTTGTGCAAACTTCTACTCTAAGCCTTGGTTTCTTTAACTGTAAGATGAGTATGATCATTCCCATCTTGTAGGGGCTTTTTTGGTAATAATTAAATAAGGTGACTCATGAAAAACAAAAGTACCTGCATATAATTAGTAAGTGCTCGATACTTGTGGAAAGAACTAAGCCTCGGGATCAGACGGGCTGGTTGCGTTCGAAAAGCCCTGACACACAGGATGCGGCTCGCCTGCCCTGAAGGCCGCTCCCCCATCACAAAGGGAGATGATCACAGATCTTGTGGTCCCGGGGGCCCCAGGACGCCTTCCGAGGAGTAGGAGTGGAAAACAAAACAACGGGAAGAAAGGAGTTCATTTTTTCCGGTAGGCCCGGGACCATAGAGGGTCGCTCCGCCAAGTTCCTAGAGCGGCGGCGGCGGCAGCGGCGCTGACGAACGGCGCGGCCCGCACTTCCGGCGGCGCGAGGG